AAATGATAAATCTTAATAAAAATTAAATTACTTTAAATAAAAATTAGATTAATAATAATTAGCTACATTATAAATTTTATACTTTAGGTAAATTTTAATATTAAATAACAAATCTTTAAAGCTAAAAAGGCGAACCATCTCAATGATTAACCACTTTGCAAAGCGTGTAACGCCTATTATTTCTACTTAAAATTTTTAACCTAAATTATAATAATGTTAGAATTATTTAATATTAATGATTTGTGTTAATTAATGATATATTCTAACATCCTTAAAAATATTTTGCTTTTTAATAAATTTTAATTATTTAATAATATAGGATGTTAGCACGATCCGATGAACCACTACACCGCTAAATGTTAAATTTATTTTTAAAACATATTTTTAAATTTGCTTTATATTTATCGTAAAAATAATTAAATAGTATTTATTTGAAAATAATATATTTATTCTTTATCTTGGAGCATGACGAAAAATCAGGTGGGGGTGCCTAAAAAGCGTCCACTCTATTTTGTTTAAATTTATTAAAAAATATAATAATTATATACATAATATAAAATTATTTAAATCTAATTAAAGAAGGCTGACATCGCTAAGCGTTCCTATAAGTAAGTTTAAATATTTAAAAATGGTATAAGCCTTATTTTATTAATATATTGCCTTTTAATAAAATAACAATATTTTTTTAGAATAAATATTTATAAATTATTTTATAACTATTAATTTCAAGTATAAAAATGGTAAATTATTAAAATGGCAAATATTTTTAATAACATAATTTATTTTATTAATAATATATTATATAAATTTTATATAAAATTTAAACTTAATAAATAAAAAAAAAAAACAATAGAACTTCCTTTTAATCCGATCCTTTTCGTAACAGCGCAACAGCACTTTTCGTATGTTGTGTCTCGCTTAATAAACTATTAGAATATTTATTGCTTTCATTTTATTAAATTTAACTTTATTAATTTGATAAAATTATATAAACAATACAAATTAATTAAATTTAATTTTTAATTTTTTTCGTTTAAATTTAATTTTTAATTTTTTTCGTTTAAATTTAATTGTACGAAGGTTAAATTTTATAATAATAATTTTAAATTTAATAATCTGGCCGGCTGCCTATGGCAGCCGATTGAAGGGTTACATTGTACGACGTAACCCTAAAAAGTTTATAAAAAAGTAAGCAAAATTTTTTAATACAAAATCCTATTCAAGATTTGAACTTGAATATAAATATTAGAAGTATTTTGCTTTACCATTAAGCTAATAGGACTAAACACAAGCCTAAATTACAAATGAAAAACTTTTTACATTTTAAATTTATTATTAACCTACTATTTTACCACTTCAACACCGAAGCCGTAATTCATTAAAAATAAAAATTTTTTTAATAATTACCCCCCCCCCCTTTTTTTTTTAAGTTATTACCCTACCTTAAAAATAAATTAAAAATGTTATGTTGGAGTGATTCGAACACTCAATTATAAATACCAAAAATTTATGACTTGCCTATTAGTCTACAACATAAGTAATGAAATATTTAAAAAGTTTTATCTAAATAATCTTTAAATAAAACACAAATAAAAATATTTTTTTAATTATTTATTCTTTTGAAAAATTTTTTATATCGCTTTTAAAAAATTTATAAAATCAATTTTTAATATTCAAAAGTAAGATTAATAAAAATTATAATTTATAAGATAACCATACAGTAAACATAAAATCATCTTTATGTGAAATGTGAAAAATTTTTTAGATTCATCAAATCTTTAATTACCATTATATTTTTTACCCTCATAGGAAAAGTCCGTTACATTATATCAATAAAAAAGTTAGAAATAAATTATATTAATTTGTAAAATTTTTAACTTGAACAATAAATCTAAGAATAATATTACTAAAAGTTAATTAAATATTAACTCTATTATTTACATAAAGATCGCAAACCAAGTCTCAATTGTATTTTTTATTATTTTGGCCATGACCTTTATCATTTACCCCCGATAGCAATTTAAATGTAAATTCTTGGGTTCTATCATTTTATGAGATTATCAAAGCGCTTCCTCCGAACCGTACGTGTTTGTCACCCCCTCCTGCTGTATTTTTTCTTACCACCAAAGGTAAGTACTCGCCGTGCGGTTTTTTACTTTCAGAACTGACTGATTGGTTTAACCCGGGTCTTATTAGATCGGAATCTTAGTTTATGAGATTCAAATGTCCGATCCTATTGACAGGCTTGAAATATCCAATATGGCGCACACCCTTAATATATATTATTAGAAAATTTTTTATATACCATTTACCTCATTATTATATAAATAAAAAGAAAATTATATAATATTTCTATTTTTCAATTTAATAATCATTAATCTACATATTAAATTATTATTGCTTTCAAATTTAAAAATTAAAACCAAAAAATCTAAAATTTAATTTTTAAATTTTCGAACTAAAAAAATTATTTAATTTTAAACTTTTATTATTTATTTACAAGTTTATATATTTATGAATGACGTTTAATTTAAATATATTTTAATTTTTCCTAAATTTATTTTTTTTTATAATTAATATATTCTTTTATATTTTAGATTAAACCTTTTATAAAATTTCTAATTACATCAATTAAAGATTAATGTTAATATAATTAGATTTTAATTGAGGACAGCCATCGAGCTTTGCTCGATAACCGTCCTTGATATTATTATCGGTCTTTAGGCTTATCTCAACGTTTTAAAATATTTTTATATAATATATATTCGAGCAGAGCCTTTAATTTAAACCAATTGGAATAGTTTATTTTAAGAATACCAAAGCGTTCCCTTTAAATCATACGTGTGTTTATCAATGTATACAGCTTTCCTCTTATAAACATGTTTGACATCCTTTAAATATATTATCCACTTTCAGATATGAATATCTCATCACGCAATTTTTTAGTTTATAGTGCTGATTGAAGTTAAGTGATTTTTGCATTATTTTAACTTTTTAATTAGTTTACAGGTTGTCTCACTTCGTTATACATTTACTCCCGGTTTATAATTACTATTGAAACTCCGTCTCCACTAAACTTCACAACCCTTAAGCAATTCCGCATTTGATTATTTGTCATTTCTTGTGATAATTTAGGTATTTCTATTTATTATTACACAATCACTTTTAAGCATAAAGTAAACGGTACTCTATAAATAAGTATCGGCTTTGAGTTTTTTAATTTAATAAGGTTTATATTGATCCTACTAATAAGTTGAAATGTTATTTTATATTTTGAATATATTATTGAAGGTAATTCTGCATTCCTTAATTCTTAATATTATGCACTCCCTTAATTTTTGCTTTAAATTAATTGGATAATTTACCTCATACTCCTGATATATGTTACATTTATACTAACCCATACCTTACTATTTAATATCATTAAATTTATTCAATTATCGCCTACAGTGAAAAATAATTTTTTATTTATTTTTCATATAAAATATAATAATTTATTTTTTATTTTACGGGTGGCGAGACTCGAACTCACAAGGTTTTCACCGATAATTCCTAAGATTACCATGTTTACCAAAATTTCATCACACCCATTAATATATTTAAAAATTTTATAAAATATGCCTTTAAACCTTAAAATTTTTATTGAGTCAATTTATACAATTTGGCTTATAATATTAAATAATATTAAGAGCTTTACCCTTTTTATTGTAATTAATATAAATTTATATATTTAATATAAAATATTGCTCAAGATAAGATTTGAACTTATAGCCTAAACATCTTCAGTGTTCCGCTCCACCAAATTGAGCTTCTTGAGCGTTAATTGTTTATATTATTAAATTACAAAAAATTTATAAATAAAAAAAAAAATAAACTTTAATTTATATTAAAATTAACTCTTAGCAATACGCGATACCTTCGTTTCAAAATAAAATTGAAGCTAAATACAAAAATTATAATAATTTTAATAATATTAAATTATTTATTTATATTTTTAATTGAGCAATATAAATTTTATAAAAACAAGAAAAAGGTTCTTGTGTAGCAGCCCTATATCAATTTAAAAGATTTAAAATATTATTTAACTACGACTTTTTAAGAAAAGCCAATTTAAAAATAATATTTAAATAAAAAATTTTTGTAGTTTTAAATTTTTCATGGAGATATCAGGATTTGAACCTGAAACATTGATATGCAAAATCAAAGTTTTTCCAATTAAACTATATCCCCTCATTTATTAACTTATTATTTACTGATTATAATTAAAAAAAAATTATAGCTTTACACGGTTGTTGCAAATAGCGGGCGGTTTCCTATGAAAATGCTTCACTTTAAATTAATTTACCTATTATTTATCAATCCAAATAATTTAGAATTTTTTTATATCTACAATATTATATATAATTAAAAATTTGGTTAAATTCTTATATAGTTTCATTTTTATTTTTAATACTCGAAGCTTAAAAAAATATAAATTTTATAAAAACATTAATTTATAAAATCAAATATTTAGAAAAATTAAAATTTTAATTTTGACTTAATAACAATTTTAACTTTTATGATTTAATATAAGTTTTATTTTTCTAAAATACTACTTTTTCTACTATAAAATATCCAAAAAAAAGTTCATACCTAAGGAGTGACTTGAACACTCATGAGTTTTCCCAGGAAATCTTAAGTTTCCCCTGTCTACCATTTCAGCACTTAGGTTAATAAATAGATTAATAAAACTTTTATTATAAAATTATTTTTCTTAAAAGTAGTTTGCTTTTTATTATAGCCATTTAGCTCAAATCAAATGTAATATTTACTAAATAATATTAATTACTCTAATTTTTGAAAATAAAATAATTATTAAATTATTATAAATTTTAGTAAGGCTAGAATGACTTGAACATTCATCTAAGCTATTATGAGCAGCTTGCTTTACCTATTAAGCTATAGCCTTTAAACAATAAATTAACAGAAAATTAATTAAAATTTTTAAAATACATTTTTTATGCGGACATAGGATTCGAACCTATTTCTACCGGGCATGAGCCAGTTATGCTACCTATGCACCAATCCGCGATTATCTACATTTTTTTGTTTTATAAAAACAAAATAAAATATAAAAACTTTTTACTTTATAATAATGTTTAGCTCAAGGGGAACTCGAATCCCCACCCCAATAGTGAAAGTATTGTGTCTTAACCTATTTGACTATTGAGCCTCTAAATTTTAAATAATTATGAAGTACGAATTATCGCATATGTATAATACGATAGTATAATTATACATCATAAAATAATTCAAAAATTATATATTTTTAAGTTTAATTATAAAATGCATAAATTTAGAAAAATTTTATAGCTTTTATAATTTGATAAATACATACCATATTTATTTTTATAATCTGTATATTTTGATTGTAATTGTTGCATTAAAATTAAAACAATTTAATCTTTTGCTGCCATATTATTAAAAACCGTATAGATTAGTTTTTAAATCTATGAAAGATATTTCCCGCTATGAGAACTTCAAAAATTTTTTAAAGTATAAGGTATAAAATGATAATAATCATTATAGCTCATATTTACTAAAAAAATTTACATTTTTATAAAAAAACTTAATAAATTTAAAAAAAAAATAAATTTTAAATTTTTTAAAATAATAATTTCTTATAAAAATAAAATTTTTAATAATTATAAAATTTTTATAAAATAATTTTTAAAATTGCTTATAAATACAGCAATAAAATTAAAAATTAACCATAAATTAATTATAATTAACTAACACACGTTAAGCGCGCAATAATCAACATCAATGTTTTAATAATTTAAAAATTTATTATCACCAATATTAATTATATTAAATGTAATACCAAAGACGTTACATAACGCTTTTATTAAAAATTATTAATTGGTTGTTGCAACGTTAATATTACACCTTTCACATTACATCAAAAATTTTTCTAAATTGAAAAATTTTTTACTATTAAATCAGTATTAATAATTATATTTTTTTTATATCAATTTATTAAACTTAGTGTAAGAATCGCACTTACTTTTTCCGATTACAAAACGGATACATTACTTTTATGTTAACCAAGCTCTTAATTAAAATAATATATTAAAAAAATAAACAATTAAAAATTATTCAATTTAATAATTAATATTAAAATTAATTAGGTTTTCAATACTTTACAACCCTATAAATAATAATTTTTATGCTAATTTTATATTTTCTATTTTAAATTTATAAAATATTAAAAAAATTTTTAATTATCTTTCTACGATAAAAAAAAATTTTGAATCTTATTTAAAATATTTACGATAAATGTATTGTTGTATTAAAAAAAAATTAGATCTTTATACCTAAAAAAATTAAAATCCTTTCAGCTAAAGCCTAATTATAATATATACTAATTAGTATCTAAATTTTTATATATTAACTATATAAATTTAATCTATAAACTACTTAGTATATATTAATACGTAGTAGTATTCTACGTTTTTAAGAGTATCCTAAAATTAGTTTCAAACTTATATGCTTTCAGCTCTTTACTCACCGCCAAGCCAAGCTACAGAAATTTTATTTTACATAAAAAGTGTCTTTAATTTACGGTGCAAATTAAAAATTTCACTGCGTGCGCTAAAACATAGCTTTCCTGCCGTGCCTATGCTATTATTTACTTAAGTGTCAGTAAAATTCATTTTGCATTACTTTTAATAATAACAATTAATATCGTCCACATAAACAACAGGTAAACCAGAGGTTATTATTCCCAGTTCCTTTCGTACAAAGGGCCTGTTTTTACTTTACTCTAACTACCACTAGAAGATAGAAACCATACTGTCTCACGACGTATTTATGATTATTCAAGCATTTTCATACTTGTCTAGACTATATCTTCAATTATAATAATTTTTAAAATGACCTAAGGTAATCATTTTTGTCTAAAATTTTCTATATATTTTTCTAATGTTATATTATCTGATTCATCACGAACGTAATAAGATAACTCTTGAATTTTATTTATATTTTCATTATTTAATTTATTTCCATTAGATAAAAGCTTTAAAATTTTACAACTATAATATATTTTATTATATTTCAATAATGGTAAATTTAGTTCGGAAGAAGTTAAATCAATGTTTACGTTTTCTTCTGAGAAATCAACCCAATCTAAAGAATTTTTATTTACCATTTTTGGTAAAATTATAGAAGCTAAGGTAGATTTAGATCCCACTTTGTAGATACTACAATTATCATTAATCTCATAAATACCACCTGTCTCATTAAAAAAAGATTTAATTTCATTTAAAAGCGACAGATTGTGTTTATCTTGAACAATAGTAAAAGAATAACCCACATATAATTTAATTTCTTTCACCTCATTATTTTTATTATCGTGCTGAGCTTTTATTTCTTCTAATGATTCATTTTCCGAACTTGCACGATTTAAGCCTTTGACCTCTGAGGGTTTAACAAAGTATATTGAGATATTTCCATCTCCATCAAACAAACCATGAATAAACTCTAAAGTTAATTCATTTTGTTTAAAATTTTTAATACTTTCTGTTAATTCACTAGTATCTATTCCTTCAGGTTGTACATTATTTATAACATATTTTTGTTCCTCAGGAGTTAAATATCTTATTTTATTTCCTAATTTTCCTAAAGGATTTAAGTGACTTGCTATTACTATTAAACTTAATAACATTTTTTTATTATTTCAATGTGCTCTAGTAGACATCATAGTTGCAATATATTTAAAATGTAAAAAACTTAATAATTTACCACTTCTTAATTGATGCTTCATAAAAAATGGTATAATTATATTTAATAAGTCACTTTGTTTAGTTACCTGATATCTTATCGTTTTATCGTTTTTATTAAAATACCAGTTACCTATGCCTCCAAAATATTTTTGAATTTCTAAAATAAGATCTTTATGTTTTTCATGCTGCACAATAGTAAAAACCAACGATATATTAAAATATCGTTTTGAATTTCTTGTTTTGCTTGTCAATACTGCTGAAAATGAACCATCTGCTTGTACAAATCCTGCTATGTAATCTCCAGTAATTTTTTTATTTAATTCTCATTTTATGAGTTTATTTTTGTTAAAGATATTTGTGACTTTCATTAATTAGTTTAAGATGTATTAGACATTAAGGTTGTAAAATTTCCTCTTGACTTCAAACGTTTTCTATTAAATACGATAGATCCCGTGGTCTTTTCACCGCGGGAAACCTTCTATATTATCGATTTTTTAAGTCTCTATTTCCCTAACTCCGGTATTTTAGATTATATCACAACTTTTGTTATTTAGTCTCTAGAAGCAGAGCCTTAACTAATCACTAGCTAAGGGCCGCCTTACTCAAGACAACTTAATTGTTTCCATAATAATTATTCTTTTCAATTAGTTTTTATTCAAGATTTATAATTATATAGCTAAGCTAATACACCTTAGCGCCGATCCCTTGAATAAAAAAGCTCGAATTACCCAGCTGGGGTGTCAACCCTCTGGATAATTTTCTAGATTCGAACTAGATTACGCCACTTATTTTATTCATCAGTTAAAGCGTCTAATTGGTATATTAAATTTTTTAAATTCTCTACAGAGCTTTTACCTTCGACTAGAAAATTAATTGAATTTAAGATAAAGGGTAAATACCCTATAGTTTTTGTTAAAAATATGATTTTTATTAGAAAATTTGAAAAAGACATTTAATTAATTATTAAATTGCTGACGGAATTACCTATAGAATTCTCTTACTATAAGTCCAATATTAATATATTGAGTCTTTACGGGAAGCCTTTAACAAATAAAAATTTATTTGCTTAGCTCTCCCACGGTATTAACTTAGTTCAAATAAATTCAAACCTTAGCCTTCACCGTATTCTGTCAGTGTTTCATTCGTACTCATAACCAAATTAGTAGAGACGATTTTTATATTATTTTTAATATAAAAACATAACTCACGCTATGAAGGGGCTAAATACTCAACCCAGCTCGTGTAGCTTTTTAAACGACGAACAGTCGTACCTTCCATGCTTACTGCGTTCATGAGGATAAGCTAAGCCGACATCGAGGTGCCAAACTGCGCTCCCAATGTGTACTCTCAAGCGCAATCAGCCTGTTATCCCTAGCGTAACTTTATTCTATAATACGGAACCAGTCCTTTATGCATTCCGCGATCGTATGCCCCGCTTACGCGACTGATAGACGCGTAGGTCAGACAGTTAAGCAAGATTATGCCATTAAACTTGACGAGTCATTATCAAAATCACTATTCACAAGATTGAGGTCTTGGATTTTAGCAACTTTAAATATATATTACATTTTATAGCCCGATGCGCTCACCTATGGGTATCGCTCAGACCCTCTCGAGCTGGGCGATCCCTTGATGAAATTTATTCATCGCTTACGGCGATGACAAAGCCGCAAAAGCTAAAAATGTTAATTTTATTTATTACACCTATCATCGATATAGTTAAAATCTTACTTGCTTAAAAATTAAATTCTACTTTAAGTAAAAAGATAGTGATTAAATACATATAGGGATAAATAATTTTTATCCACTTATACATAAATTCGTTTTAAGAAATAGGGTGCGACCAAAGGCCGCGCAAAAATCTTAAATTTATTAAATAAAATTCGAAGTAAAAAATATATATTTTTCCCCCCAAACTTTCTGATTTTGGATATACCCAGCTACTCTTTATGGGATCTGTGCCCCGCATAAACTGCCACCTAGCCGTTGTTCTCATTATTTATTACCTATATGGAAATTAACTTTTATGTACATGTGAAAAAATCACACTACCCTGTAGTTTATAGAATGTGTATTAAAAAGTGTTTAATTCAACATTCTCAGGTAATAATAGTTATCTTACACTTTATACTATTATTAAATAATTAACACCGGTTGATAAATAGAATAAGTCATTTTATTTAATTCAAAATAAAGTGGAGGACAATGTAGTCCCCAGCAATGTGACAGACTCAAAAAGGTGTTTCAATTACGTCTAACGACTACCTTATCCCTATGGTTGGTCCGATCACACGCAATGACTAGAA